TGCTGATATTTGCACTGCACACGGAGGATTGAGCAAAACAAAGCATGCATTTTACACAACAAGGAGCTCTTTAAGGAGACATTACAGCATAAAACAACTGAAGGTTCTATTGGGAGGGAAATCAACAGATTACAGGCAGAGGACACTGCTATTTCAATCTCAGTGGAAATATGTTTTAATCTAATTAACAATAAAATTGAAATCCCACTGGGACAACATTAAGACATTCATGAAATCCATGGAAGAAGAGGCTGGAAGAGGGCTGCTAGACCATAATTGTGAATTTGTTTCTTTCTGCAAGCATTTAAAATTAAAGATCTAGAATTGTACTCTACATTTGCAAAGAAAGTTGTAATTTTAGTCCATCAGAATTCTGAAAAATTCTGTCAGTAAAATCACAAGAGAAGGAACTGATGAATTCAGAATAATTAATTTTAAAAAGACCTGTAAATCTGTGAGCAGATCAAGAAAGCATGTTTTTTCCTGCATTCAAATCCTTCTGGTTAAAACTTCATAATGAATTATGTGCTGAACAAATAAATACACTGGTAAAAGTGTATTTCTGTCTAAAATGGTGGTTGCCCATCACTGATTTAATTCATATACTTTAAAGTTCTAGGAATGAGATGTAGGACCAGCAGGGGTGACAGTCACAGTGAGTCCCAGGCAAGGTGGGGTGAACCGATTGCACCCCTGGAAGGGGTGGGCTATAGGCAGAAGGGGGAGGCAAGAGCAATCAGCCCTTACCTCCACCTGGACCGCAATGCTAGGCCCCCTGTCTAGTCCTTAAAGCCTCATGGAGTGGCGCTTTGGTGCTCCCACATCAGTGCAGAGGGGCCCGGGGCTCTGTCCACTGATGCTGCTGCAGTAGTAGCTGTGGTGGTAGGGAGCTCTGAGCCCTTTTGAATGTCCAGGCCCTTGGACAATTTTCCCCGTTCTTCTCCCCTACCCCTATCAGTGGATGAGGTTAGGATGCTGGGAACTTGATATTGCTTACAAAACTGCAAACTTTTTATTTTGGACAAGGTGGCTTCTACGGGTACAGGAACCATTTTTATAATGGGGTGTTGATGGAAAACATGGAAACCATGTATTTGGTGTTTGTTATTACTGTAGTACCTCAGAGTTACGAACACCATAGTTCTGAAATATTCATAATTCTGGACAAAATGTTATGCCTATTCTTTCAAAAAGTTTATAACTGAACATTGACTTAATACAGTTTTGAAACTTTATTGTGCAATAGAAAAATGCTGCTCTTAACCATCTTAATTTAAATGAAAGAAGCACAGAAACAGTTTCCTTACCTTGTCAATTTTTTTTCAAACTTCCCAACTTCCCCCTTTTTGTTAGTAGTTTACATTTAATACTGTGCAATATTTGCTTGCTTTATGGTTGCTTTGTTTTTGTCTCCATTGCTGCCTGATTGGGTACACCCTTTTCCAAATGAGGGATGTGATTGACCATTCAGTTCATAAATTTGGTGTTTGTCACTCTACGATTCTATCGTACTATTTCAAGTCAAGTAACACCCCCAAAGCCTCTAGTTCCATTACCAATGATGGCTTTTCACATGGAGAAAAAAGTGTACAGAATGAATCACTTAGTTTCAGTCTTTCATTTCCGTGTGTGTGTGTGTGTGTGTGTGTAAATGGTTATTGTGTATCTGAGATGTTTCTATAGCACTTATCTCCTCTTACCCTGTCCCCCCACTGTCAAATTTGGACCCTGATTTTAGTATGGAGGTAATGTGATGAGAGGTGTAACAGTCTAAGTACAACAGTTTGAGCTCCCACATGCTACTCTGCATGGAATACATGGAAATATGAATGAGACTTTCTTGCCCTGGGCCAGTGTAATGTGGTATGTAAGCCACACATTGGGGAATCAAACCAGAGGGTCCCACCCAGTCTCACAGGCTGGGCTGGCTCACACTGGAGGCAAAGATCAAAAGGGAAAAGTCCATCCCAGTCTGAGCAGAAGAGAGCAGTCCTAGGGTGTTAGCCCCTGCAGAGAAGCCTCAGGAACTCCATGTTGCCTGGAGCAACCTCTGCTGCTGAGCTACCAGAGGTCCCCATGGAGACCAAGAACAACATCACAAAGAGGTAGAACCCCACTTGAGAGTCCATAACCACAGCTTGTGATGGCTTGGGAGAGTCAGAGGATGCAAAAGGAAGTCACCTAGGGTGCAAGCTTGATCTGTGACCTGCCAGTCACAAGACTCAGGGATGGACCTGCTGGAGTAGGGAGGGCCCAAGTTCCCCTGTGGCCCCACAGACTGCCAGTACTGAGCAATACCATCTCTCCCCTCGCCCCTGTAGACACTGCTGGGCTACGTCTACACTGGCGCGTTCTCACGCAAAAACTCTTTTGTGGAAGAGTTCTTCTGCAAAAACTCTTCCAGAAGAGAGCATCTACACTGGCATGTGCTTTTGCGCAAGAGATGTGACGCTCTCTTGCACAAGAAAGCTCTGATGGCCATTTTAACCATAGGGCTTTCTTGCGCAAGAAATTCATGTTGCCTGTCTACACTGGCCTTTTCTGGAAGAGCTCTTGCTCAAAAGGGCTTCTTCCTGAGTGGGAGCATCAGAGTTCTTGTGCAAGAAGCCCTGATTTTATACATTAGAATGTCAGTTTACTTGCGCAAGAACACGCAGCCAGTGTAGACAGGCAGCAAGTTTTTGCGCAAGAGTGGCCAATTTGCGTGAGATCACGCCAGTGTAGACACAGCCCTGAGGTTTCAATATGGAAGACCTGAAATAGTTCTGCTTTGCAAGCTCTGCTGCTCTGCGACTTCCTGTTCCATCTTGACTCTGTGTCAACCTTGATCCTCCTTCCACTGTATGAGGATTTTTCTGACTCTTCTGCATTTTAAGTGTACAGCTGAACTCAGTTTGCCCCAGTGCATTCAACTTGGTTGTACTTTACATTTTCTCTCATTTTAATCTGCCCTGTCCTGAACTTTCTGCAGGATTTTGTGGCTGGCTGGTTCTGGGTGCTTCCAGCTTATATAATGACAAGCTCATTGTTGGCAGTGCTCAAACTGTTGAAATGAACTTTCTGTCAATTTGTTAAATGTTTTACTAATTTATTGATCTCAATTGAACTTTTAACTGTTTGGAACCTGCCCCTTGTACTTATCTGGCTTAACTAAAGACCTAGCATGCTTGTCAGCATTAGATCAATCATAAACCCAAGCCCATGAAAAACAGCTTGTGTGAAATTTCTTGTGCTTCCCTAGTTGAATAGCTTGTGTGATAAATAGTCCAGTCATGTCAGCTGCAAGTGAAGGTGAAGAAGAGGTGAGTGTAGGCACAGTCTTTGCTGTCACAGAGACCGTTACAAGCTGCTTGTCAGGAATCTTTGGAGTGGAGGAGCAGTTGCCTAAGTCTTGCTTCAGGATTCTAAGTCTTAGGTGTGTGACTGTAATATTTTGCATTTCTTACTACTAATTATTATTTTAGTGCCATCTGACAAGTGGTAGGCAGATATCAAGCTGAGCTTACTGATGCTGATCTGCTTATTACACCTATTGCAAGTTATCTGCAAAACATGCTAGTATTACTGTAAGCCTGTCCTTTTTCACCCTACCTGTCACACCTTGTCTTAAGTGAAGATTATTAACTCTGGAGCTGAGTTTGTCTTTTACTCTATGGCTGTCTCTAGACTGGCCAGTTTTTCTGGAAAATCAGCCGCTTTTTGCGCAAAAGGGCCAGTGTAGACAGCTCAGATTTGTTTTCCGCAAAAAAGCCCCGATCATGAAAATG